ATTCGGTCACCTTCACAGCCATCGATGCCGCCATGCAGCACATGGGCGTTCCCCCTCATACACGCAAAGTCATAATGGCGCTGTACGACAACCCTACGTTCGTAGTCAGAGATTCCTCCCAAAAGTCTGAGGTTAAAACCCAGACAAAAGGCCTGCGCCAAGGCTGTCCCCTCTCTCCTTATCTTTTTGGTTTTGTACTTACACACCTTTTTTCTGATGTAGAACGAGATTACCAATCCAAATTCGGGGAAATCTCAGGAGTCTTTCATATTCCCTCTCCACTTTGGGATTTGGAATACGCGGATGATACAGTCCTCCTTTCTTGCTCCTCGGGGCAAATGAATCGACTTCTCCATACCGTACAATACCAAGGTAACAGAAGAGGCCTTGTATTAAATGAAGACAAATGTGAACACCTCCGACTTCATTCCCTGCAGAGGATCTACTACGCACCTCAGCAGGACTCGCCGTGCGACTGTAGTTATTGCCAGGGCGTACACCACCGCCCTGCTCCTGTTCCTCTTTCTGATGAAGTTAAATACCTCGGGGTTTACCTGGACCCCACTAACAGCAACCGCAGGAATACATCTTATACAGTATCTCAGGCTGTTACAGCCTCTAAACTGCTTCGTCCGCTCCTTTCACATGCTTCCCTCCCTCCTTCCTGGAAACTTACGGTATACCGATCCATTGTACTTACAATAATGATGTATGCCATGGATAGTGTCTTGTTGACTTCTCCCCAAATCCGTAAACTGGACACAGTCCACTACAAGTCTCTTAGACGCATTTTTAAGATCAAATTTTCATACTATCACCGTGTTTTGGACCCCACAGACGCCCAATGCTCTAATCAATACTTAGCCTCCCTTGCTTTTTCTAGCCGACGTGTTCAATCCCCTTCTCAACTCTACTCACAGCAGCGCCTTCAACTATTTGGACATATTCATAGACACCCGGATTCCATAGAAAGCCAGACCACATATATGAATTCCCATGCATACCGTCATATCAGATCAGGCCGCCCAAAAATACACTGGGCAGAATCCTGCATGGCACAAGCAGCGCAGCGTATTGATCACTTAATGTCAGACCAGGNNCCAACAAATACGGCAGGCCCACAGGGCATCGGGCATTGTTTGGATGGACAACACCTCCTTATATCGCTATGTCCATCCCAAATGCCAAGACCGCACGTACTGGCAGAAGGTTGTGCACAAGCCCAGAAGGGACAAGGGACGATAATTTAAGCCACCGGTAATAGAATTAGGATAGGTCGGTGCTGATGGGCTCAAACAGAGAGCCTTGCGCGTTCGAAAAAAAATATACGACATCCATGCATGCACATGTATCTGACTCTCTAATTGTCTTGCATAAATGCATGTGCATATACCTGCTGAAATGGAAAGATCGATTTTTTGTAATGCTATGTGCTCGAGCCAGCCAGAAGTTTGTACGAAGCATGATTGCAAGAGTATTCGATTTCGCCGAATGGCACATCGCTCGAGAATTATCTGAGAGCAGATCCCTTCGCAGTGCAAGCCTTAAAGGTAGTTCCCAAAGCCGCTGCATGCGGACATCGTGGTACAATTACAATCCGAGTGCAATGTGGTCATGTGGGCATTTTTGCAGATTCTTGCAGGTGAGAGCATCGCTGCTCAGGCAAGCTGCATCGTTGACTTTTGCTTCCCAGGATTGTGAGAGCTGCTTCATGCTTCCAGTGGTTCATAGTGACCGTGGGTGTCATGGGCCGAAGTCAAGAGGCACTGGGTCTCTTTTCTCCGGGCAGGCTCAGGGCCAACACGGCCCCCCGGCCCCGAGGCCCTAGGCCTTCGACCACAAAGAGGGAAGTGCCTTGGTCACCTGTCGCTGAGGCTGGGAGCGGGAGCACGACCTGGACCGAAGAAGAAGAAGGTGGACTCGAGACCCGCATCCCGAGGTCTGGATCACAAGCCTCAACTGGTAGGCATCAGGCTACTTCTGGTCAACGCCACCGTCATGGCCTCAATAGGTTTGTGCATTGCAGAGCATCCTGTTCCTGTTCCTGTTCCTGTTCCTGCAGACTGCAGACTTGCGGGACATGCATCTTTTCAAGGCCGAGATATGAGTTCAAGGAACAGAAGAATGTTCAGGCAGGAACCGTGCTACAGTTTTCATTGGCATGACGGTGTTTCCTGACAGCTTTTTGCGTTGGATCGTCCTTTCGGGGATGATGGGCACGGGGTGAAGCTAAGGTGGGAGACTTGGCCGTGGCCGAGCAATCCGGGCACCTGCACAAAGCCTTCCATCCTGCACAAGTTCGGGACTCACCGGGATGCTGCTTGCGCCTGCTGCAAGCGGGACACTTGTGTGTTGGCACTTCTCAGGCTTGCTCTTTCTACCGACTTCCTGGTATGGTGCGTGGGGAGATCGCAGAAGCAATCCTCGAGCCGAGACCCTCAGCCTCGCTGCTTCCAGTTTACTGTCGTGGGACCATCGTGAGCTTCTTTCGTGTGCCTGTGGATTCACAATTTGTTTGAGACCACAACTTCATACTGTTTCTCACTTTGCCATGTCGTCAGACATAAGATATGTCAACTGCCGTTTCAGTTTCTGTGACTGGCTACTTTTTGCGGCAGGCACTGCAAGAAGCAGACGTCGTGGTTTTCTGCCGCACCCGATTCCGTGGACAAGACTCCAAGCTTCGAGTACTACCCGCCTTGCGCTGAGCTTGATGTACTGCGAAGCTGAAAGGGAGATAGATATCGGAAACACCGAAAGAGCCTTTGCTCAGTTTCTGCCGCGAGAGTACCCGCAACGTATTTTCGCCTCGCAGCTGCAGAAAAGGTTCCGTGACGGAGCTTGGGCGGATGATGGCATGAGGACATTGCCTGTGACCTTGCCGTCGAGTTTCAGACAACGTCTTGATGATGGGAGGGTCAGAATTTGTGCGAAAGACCTGGAGGGAGTGTGTGAGAGAGCACAGGGTTTTTCTCTTCCAGGAGGCTGCTCGAAGAAACCATCGAGTTGCAGCTCCTTCCCTACGTTCGGCAGCGTGCCCTGGCCAGCATCTGCTTGCAGGAGTCTGACTGTTGCAAAGCGATCGAGGCTATGGTTGTCGTTTCTGTGCCGTGTCTGACATCCTGGTTAGCCGCGCCCTGAGATCAGAGCAAAGTTCCAAGTCTTTCGACGTCTCCCATTGCCGACTTTTGAGGACGCTACCTACCCGGGGAGCGCCGCACACATGCCGTCCACTTTGATGGCCACGCCTTTGTGACAGCGGTGCTGGGCCTCTCGAATCCGGATGGCTATCAGGCTCGACTGCAGTGTCAGGGAGACAGGGAGAACCTGGTTTTGCATGCTGTTTGATCGTACTAGGGCGGCCTCTACATCCAGCCCGATGCTGATGTGTCTTCGCGCATGTATTTTCGCTTGGAGCCGGGAGACTTGTTGGTGCCTTCCCCAGGCGTAGGAAAGGCTCGCAACAGTCGGAAGACATGGGAGCTGAGGTCCACTCCTTCGACCTACAGCATGGTGTCCAGCTCCTGGTTTCCATGGCTTCCGAGTTCTATCTCACTGCGGGAAGCTCGAATATCCCATCAGGTTCATGTTTGGAAGGGTTCACGCTACAGCCTCGTCTTCTGGATCAAGGATTCCCTGCAGGCAGTAGGGATCCTTGCTGCATCGAAAGCTTCTTTGTCGTCAGCAACGGATGGCAGGCCGTTTGGGACCGGACGACTCCATGGTATGATTCGCTTGCCGAGGGGAACTGAGAGAAGCTGGCTGCTTGTGACCACCAGTCTATGAGAGTTCGGAGTTGATCTGAATGAGGCTGAAGGTGACCCGGATGCTTTGTACAACCTGGCTCAGAACTATGAGCCGGAGTCCTAGCAGTTCGGCGCGGTCCTAGCTGTCCTAGCGTAAGCTTCGGCAGACATGTTCTCGACTCGAGTGGCTTGCCGATCAAGCGCATCTCGGCGCTTTAGGCATGGCCTCTTCGGTCGCAAGGTTGATGCCAACAAGGCTGTGGGACGTCTTATGCAGTATCCAGCACCGAGTGAAGTAGGCAAACGAATCGCCTAACCGGTTGTCGAAGTCGGACAAAGCTTCTGAAAACTTGTTCAGGCCAAAGAGCTGTACGAGCGTAGTGCAGCTGCCGGGCATCATTTTGCGCAGAACAACCTCGGGTGGCCCGGCATGAGATTGATGGTCGGGACAAGACCGCACGGCCGCATTGCCTACATTTGTGATGGGCAAATCACCAAGCTGACGGACTGCAAGGCTCTTGTATCGACGCCTCCACGAAGGTGGTGCTGGTACCGACGCGTTGCAGAGGCGAAGTGCAGCCGAAGCTTTGGAAGAGCCCGTGGGCTTTGGGCTTTATGCTTAGGTCTGTCCACTGGCTCAAAGCAGCCTCGGAAGTGGGCTTTGCAATGGCCCAGAAGAACCTCGCCTTGGCAGAGGGCCTCAGGCCACAAGAAGATGCAACGCGCTTGCTTGGAAACCAGCTCAAGCTTCCATCTTGGCTCTAGCAGGCTCTAGCAGATCTGGCTTTTGTTTTGTCAAGTACCCAAGTCGACGAGTGCATCTAGAGTCTCGAGAGCATCCGCTGGTCAAGCCTGCAGAGAGTCTGAGTGATGAAGCAGAGATGTGACATGCGCCGTCACCTGCGCCGACGACTGCTGCTGCTTAGCCTCGGCTTTGGGTCCCTTGCGGTCGGCTTCCTGCAGTTTCCCACGGCCCGCCCGGCCTGCCCGGCCCGCCCGGCTTCCCGGCCCGTGGCCTTCCCTCGCCGGGAGATGGCGGCCGTGGTGGCAAGTTTCACGTTGCCTTCGAAGGCCAGAGCCGACAGAACTTTGCCCGGATCCGGTGCGAGCGCCGCTCCGCTCATTGGAGGCTCTTGCCGCGGCTGGGCCCTCCGCCGAAGATGCGGCCTTGCTGGGCGGTGCCTTTGCAGCGATGGCCGCAGACCCGCGGAGGCCCGGACTTCCAGCTCACAGCGGGAAAGGAGGGCCCGGGGTGCCAACTGTGTCGCTTAGGCCTGGTGCGCGGGAGGAGCTCGAGGCAGCAGAGGAGGCATGCAGTGCTGAGAGACAGGGCGCTGGGCTCTCATTTGCATCTGCTTGTCATAAAGGTTCAACATGGTTCAACGGTAGAGAGACTCGTGGTCTTCATGATTTTCATTCTGTCGCAGGCGTTCACGACAGTGATCCAGCGCTTCGACGAGGCCGGCGCATCGCGCCAGGCCAGGAGGGAATTCGAAGATGTTTCTCCACAGACACCCCTGCACACTCCTGTTTCTCTTGCTTGAAGGATCGTGGCGAGCTGCGCATGGCTCGGGCACAGGACGTGGGATACAAAGCGTGACAGTAATGCAGCTTTAGGCTATAGGTGTACAGCAAGTGCCCAGTGCAGCGCATGTGTTCGGCAGTGAGCAGAGAGCTTGACCGCCCAAAGGGGCTGCATGTTTCTCCAAGACTGTTCTGTAAAACTGGCAGCATCAGCCCGTGAGCTTGAGTTCATGGTCGCTGCCGAATGCAGATGCAAATTGCAGGCTCGAATCGCTATCAATGATTGCACGGGTGGTCAGCTACCAGCGAAGGCGGATCCGCAGACAAATTTGCACTTGCTCACCTGCACGATTTGGCGCCCGTCGAAGGCAGAGGCAGCAGTGCAAGACTACTCTGATGTAGTGCAGCTGATGGAAGAAGACGGTGCTGCAACAGGCACGCTGTCTCTTCAACTTCAAGATTGTGGCTTCTGTGAGGGATCATCTCTATCTGCGCTGTGTGACAGAAGGAACTTTCGACTACCCGAGCGTGTTTGTTCGACGAGCTCTCGCACGAGAGGAGATTGCATATGGGCGGAAGGACAAGAAGCAGTGGGAGGCAGCTGTTCAGGAGCTGTTGTGAGCGCAATGCAGCAGCAGCCAGTGGACTGGAAAAGCGTGTCAGCAGTGGCTAAGATAGGATTACACAAAAGCGATCGACACTTGGCGTTCTCGCCCACCGTCAGAGAGCTTTGGTGGCAAAACGCGAATAACGAACACTGATGCATGCGAGTGAATTTACGTTCTGCACAGCCGCTGAGCGACTGTTCCCGAGGACAGGCTTGGGAGTCAACCCATTGGTCCTCAACTATCGGGGCAATGCGTTTGGCCAGTTGGGACGTTTCAAAGATGCACTGGCAGACTACCGCGAAGCAACTGAAATCTTCATAAAGGACCCAAGCCAGGCCAAAGGCTGCACTTTAGCAGAGTCTCCCTTTTCGGCGGCCCTGAGGACCAGGAGTACACGCAAGCAGCGCTGTCTCGTTGCAACGAGGCACTGGCACTCTTTGGCATAAGCGAGCCCATCGAAGCAATTTCGATTATGGAAGATGTTGTGCGACGAGACCCTAGTATCGCAGACGCGCACATTGCCTTGGCGGCATCGTATTGGTCCGAGGGCGATTACAGCCGTGCTGAAGACGAATGGCGTGTCGCATGCCAGAACACAGACGTCGGTTGCCGGCAATACAAGGACCTGTCCTGGGTGGAGAACATTCGGCGATGGCCGCCCCAGCTTGTTGGAGACCTTGGACGTTTCTTGAACAGGGATGCGAAAGGACAGAAGGACAAGCCAGCTTAGCCGTTCTAATGCCTCTGATCTTCGTTCTAGGCAGCCTGAGCATGAAGTCCGACACTTCCGTGTCAGAGAGCTCGATTCGGTGTACAGCGAGAAAGACCAAGCACGGCTCGTCAGCTTGGAGCTCCTGGTGCTGCACACAGCGACGTTGCCACGATGAGCGGCGCATCGAATTGGGGCGGTCTGGCCTCTTGCCATGCGTGGTGGAAGCCAGCACGAAGCTGGATCGTTGCCAGTAAAAGATCGGCACAACTGATCACATGCACCGGAGAAGCTCTTGGCGGGTCTGTGCCTACAACTCAGGCTTACACCAACGGGCAAGGCGTGCATCGAGATGATGCGCAGGCAGTAGTGTGGTCCCCAGGACGCAGCAGGACGGAGCACGTAGAGCCGAGAGCGGGGAGTCCTGGTACGGCCTTAGGTCTGGATGCGGCGAGCCGCCGAGCAGCTCGAGGCTCTTGGCCGACGCTAAACGGGAAGACTCGCTTCTGGTCACTTGCCAGGTCGAAGCCGCATTCATGATGGGTGAGATGTACCGCAACCTTGGCATTTTCCTTTCCAGTCTTGCAGCTCCACAGGCTTGTGTTCCTTGTGAAGGCCAGGGCAGGGGTGTGCGCACCGATTTCTCAGAGGCTGTGGGATCCTCAAGTGGCTTCGAGCTGTGAGGGAGAGAAGACTACGGTGTGGTGACTGCGGAGCTCAGGCGATCTGGTACCAGCGAAGTGCTGAAGCTGGGTTCCCCAAGGCTTGGCACCCACCGGAGCATGCCGGTGTGAGCTTGGTAGATCGCCCAAGTGTCCCGGCCGCAGTTGCTATGAAGAATCAGATGTCCATGACAATGCGAGGGAGCATGATGCTGTAGTCGTTCTTCAGGGTCATTGTCCATCGCAATCCACCTGACAGGCTCAGTACACTCTTGGCATGCTCTTCCTTGATGGAACCGGTTCGGCCCGAGATTTCGGGAAAATGTTTGGAAGGCGGTGCTGATCCGCTTGGCTTATAAAGGTCTGCAGCAAGATTTGCGGCAAGCCGAGATGTGGAGCGCGGCCCAGCGCAACCTGCGGAGCATCAGCCGTCAAGGGATCCTGAAGCGAGTGTTCTTCCAAGTTCCAAGGCTGAAGTTTGCGGCTCGGCAGGGCCACGCGGAGGTGTCCGTCTCGTTCGACCATGAGAGCTCTTGACTAGCAGCTGGGAAGGCCAAGAATAACGTCGCGACGATCCACGCCCAGCGGGGCGAGGTTCCAGCAAGCGAGTACATTGGATCCTCGGGTAGAGGCACCTGGGCCAGGTCGAGGAAGCGTCGCAGATCTGGGAAGAGCTTGCCCGAAGTGTTCGCCCCAAGCATGCGCTTTCTGAAGATTTCATGTTCGCAACAGCTACAGCATGATGCTGCAATTTGCAGGTGGAGAGCCAAATGCCCAGTGCAATCTGGGCACAGACCTCAGCATGACTGCACTGGAACAGGGTAGTTTGAACATAGAGCTGCGTTTTTTGTTGTGTTGCGGTTGCCATGCCTACGCATGCTACCATGCTTGTGAACTCCTGTGAAGGCATGGCATTCCTGCGTGGAGCTGGGCGTGAGCAAAATGTCGAGGAAGCGAGTCGATGGTTGAGCCTCGGCCTTTGCATGTCCAAGCGAAGCGGCCTGCAAAGGGGTCTGCGACCACCTGCGACCTTGCCTCCGTGAGAGCGGGCTCTGATCTTCCAGGCTTGGCAGCTGCTCAGGGACACCAAATGGCCGCCCAAGCTTTGGCTTCTGCGTGGTCCTTGGGCGACTGCGCTCACCTGCGCTGCTTCCTTGCACCAGAAAGCCAAAGCCAGAACCCGGACTCCGTGCTTCTGACTTGCCAAGGCGCGCTGAGTTCGCTCCAGTCTGCAGGACGCTTGCACGCAGGTACAGGAATTTGCCCTTGATTGCAGCGCTGCATTTGTTGACAAATGTTGCAGCATCTTGAGCCGGCCGGAATATGCACGAACATGACCAGAAGACAGGAAACGAGTAGAAACGCCAAACCCACCAATCTTGTGACTCATCTGAGTGGTCCGGGTTGAACCGAAAAAGCGTGCCTCCCTCTCAAGATGGCGTTGCAGACTCCTTTGACGGACCTGCTCGGGATCAAGCATCCGATCATGCTGGCTGGCATGAATGGAGTCTCGCATTCAGACCTGGCTGCAGCGGTGAGCAACGCAGGCCAGGGACAGGCACAGCCACTACTGTTATTGCTGCAGCAGGATCTGTGTTCGCAAGCTCCTAAGGTGGAATTGGGTCAATCGGTGGATTGACGATGACACCAAAAGTCCTCACGAAGGAGATCACCTGGCTGAAAAATGCTTTGGCTGACAAGTCTCTTCCGTTCGGTGTCGATCTGGCGATTCCACAGATAGGTGGCAATGCCCGAAAGACAAATCACGACTACACACACGGCCATCTTCCAGAACTGATTGACATCATTGTGGCGGAAAAGGTAAAGCTGTTCATTTGTGCCGTTGGGGTGCCTCCACAATGGGCTGTAGACAAGCTTCACGCCGGAGGGGTTGTCATTGCCAACATGGTCGGCTCCGTTCGGAACACCCAGAAAGCCTTGGATGCAGGCGTGGACATCATCATCGCCCAAGGCACGGAGGGTGGAGGCCATACTGGGGATATTGGCACTATGTGTCTAATTCCGCAAGTGGTGGATGCATGCCGAGGGCGCAGTGCCTCGACGATAAGCCTATTTTTTTGTTTCTCCTAGTCTGCTGCCTTCGACTAAACAGTCAAGAACTTGCGTCGAAAACTTCGACTATTTGCCTTCAGGGAGTGAGCATTTGCAAGCAGCAGAGCTGGAATGTTGGGAAAGTTTTGTGAGCGTTGAGGACTGCTTGTCCCGCAGACCGGAGCACTGGTGTCTTACACCAAGGAAATGCTTTTGGTGGCCCTGTAGTCTGTGTTGCGGCTGGTGGCATTTTTGACGGCCGCGGCTTGGCGGCCGCATTAGGGCTGGGCGCCTCCGGTGTTTGGGTGGGCACCCGCTTCATCTGTGCCGAAGAGTCTGCTGCACCACAGGCGCCCTGACGCTTGTCTTGCGGTTGACTCCCAAGTCACTTGCCGCTTCCAGTCATAGGCTTTAAATAGATACCAGACTCACTAGACAATGATCAGGCCCACAAGGACAAAGTCATCGCAGCCGGAAGCCAGGACCTGTGAAGGGGTTGCTCGTTGATCTGATCCCCAGTAGATTTCAGCTTTGGGGTCTCTCAAGAAGTGGAAGGTTGAGCCGAGCATGATGAGATGGCAGTCGTGGAATTCCTGTGTCCCTCGTTGCAGGACACGCTGAGGACCCTGGTGCTTTCTGGTCGACCACTGCGCTTGATTCCAAACGATTGGGTCCAGAGCTGGGAGAAGGCAGCTCGCTTGCTCGTGTTCTTTCTGTGCTCCCTGCCATGAAGCGTAAGTCTCTGTGAGGACCCGGCCAAGATCAAGGATCTTTGTGATCAGGGCATCGTCCCCCTGACCCATGACATGAAGGATCCCGAGTCCGACTCAGAGAAGCGAAAGGGCATATTCGATGCAATTAACAGCCTGGCTGGGCAAGCTGTCGGAGGTGTTCGAAGTGTCGAGCCTGCACAGAAGATTGTTGAGGATATGATCACGCAGGCTACCGATGTGCTGCGGGGGAATGCATCAATGATCAGCAAGCTGTAGAGGACCCTGTGTCTGTGTGCATCAACTTATGTAAAGGTGTGTTCTCAGCAGATGCACTTGGTATCTCCTGACGTTTGAAAAGACCAACAGAGTCACACGCTGCGCTTTGATGTTGGTGCCGTGCTTGCTTGTCGCACCGTGCTTGCCGGAAGAAAGACACATTGCTGGAGCTGGTTCTTTTAACAGTTCTGACCTAGAGTCAAGACCACAGCAAAGCTGACGACCTACACGACTGACTGGATAGCTTCAGTCTTTCGTTCACAGGATGGGCGTGGGGGTCCGGCACGGCCTGCATCGGGCCCTGATGCCTAGGACCGTAGGAGTTGCAACAACTACGGCACTACGGGGTGTGTTAAGATCCTGAGCTTCACGAAAAGTGCTTGCCCCTGGGCGCGAATCTGCACAACTTCCCTTCGATGCTTCAGCATGCCCAATCCAGAGTAGTCATATAGTAGTCCGGCCATGGTGCGAAGTTCTGCGCTTTTCTTGAAGCTTTTGCTGCCCGCGTCCTGGTCTTGAGCGGCCTTGGAGGTTGAGGCTTTGTTGTTTATGGGGGCCCATACTATGCTATGGATGCACCCCCCATCTAGAGCATCGCCGGTCTGCACTTCGGCTTAAGGCTGTGCCAAAGAGCAGCCAACATGTCAAGCGATCAGGACAGGTCGCAAGAAATGAGAGGAGTATGCATGTTTCAAACTGCAGATTCAACATGCGCGCCCGGATTCTCCATCGAAGTGTAGTTTTGGACGTGTCCTCTTGCCAGCTACTGCAGGTTCACCTGAATCCGCTTCGTGTCTGCATGTTTGCTGTTCTTTCATGCCCACCGCTGCTCTGCTCCCGCTTCGGCTTGAGGCTTCGCCAAAGAGCAGCCAGCACAGCATTCTTGCATGTCACGAGTCATGAAAGACAGCGTGCGCCACAGTCCACGTTCTGATTCTTCGCCTGTCGCAGCAGAGCATCGACGTAGAAACCACGTCCGTATCCATGGAGTGGTTGTCCGCCGATTCTTGGCCGCACTGTGCAGTCCAGCAGCGACAGGTCTTTGCCGGCAGTCAGCTCTTGCATCTCGAGGCAGCGGAGGCGATTTCCTCTTTCTGGGAGGCGCAGGGCCGCGACGGACATGACCTGTGACATGTCGGAAGTTTCAGCCGCTTTGCAAGGATCCGGCCCCTCCCAAAAAGGCCGGGGCCTCGTGCTCCCTGTGTGGGTGCGCCAGTGCACGCTGTGGCGATGCAGGATTTTCCGCGAACCCTCGAGGGCTTCGAGCAGCTGTCACTCGCCCGGTGACACCGTGTGCACGTGCATGCGCGCGCATGCGCTTGCTGCAGAGCTTTCCAATGCCTTCCGAGGCTAAGCTTCGTGGCGGACGGCCTGACCGTCCACCCGCCTCACTTGCCTTCTGAAGCAGATGTGGCCGGCTCAGTCATGCAATCGTGTCGGACTTCCAGTCTCAAAGCGGCTCATGAAGGCCCTCGCCGAAGGGATCGAGCATCTCGGCTTCGCGCCACCC